AGCACACAAAAATAACTACCTGCTTTTGAAAATTTAGACTATAAATAAATGTAGATTACATAATATAATTTTAATGCAGGATCTGAAATCTGCAAAAATGTCTCTTTAAGTAGGACATTTATCCTGCTGACTTTTGTAGAAAAACTTGCTTCCTTACAACATCTTAGCCAATGTGAGAAGAAGGTGATTAGGAACTGTTGACATGGATTCACCAAGGGTAAGGTATGACCAACCTGATTGCATTCAGTCATGGCTGGCTTTGTGAATGTGGGAAGAGCCATGGACGTGATATACCTCGACTTTAGGAAGGCTTTTGATAGAGTCTCCCATAACATTCTCTCAAGCATGCTTAGAAAGTACAGGTTGGATGAATGGACTTTAGGTGGATAGAAAACTGGCTGGATCATCATACTCAGAGGGTAGTAATCAATGGCTCAATGTCTAGTTGGCAGCCGGTATCAAGTGGAGTGCCCCAGGGGTCAGTTCTGGGGCTAGTTTTGTTCAATATCTTCATCAAAGGCCTGGAAGATGGGATGAAGTGCACCCTCAGCAAGTTTGCAGATAATACCAAAATGGGGGAGAGGTAGATATGTTAGAGGGTAGGGCTAGGATTAAAAAAGACCTTGACAAATTGGATTGGACCAAAAAAAAAATAAATCTCATGAGGTTCAATTAGGACAAGTGCAAAGTCCTGCACTTAGAATGGGACAATCCCATGCACCAATACACACTGGGGACTGACTGGCTAGGCAGCCAGGGATCTGGGTGTTACAGTGGACAATAAGCTAAATATTAGCCAGCAGTGTGCCCTTGTTGCAAAGAAGGCTAATGGCATACTGGGCTGCAGTAGTAGGAGCATTGCCAGCAGATCAAGGGAAGTGATTCTTCCCCTCTATTCAGCAACTGGTGAGGCCACATCTGGAGTACTGTGTCCTGTTTTGGGCCCTGCACTATGGCAAGGATGTGCACAAATTGGAGAAAGTCCATCAGAGGATAATGAAAATGGTTAGGGAGCTGGGGCACATGTCTTCTGAGGAGGGGCTGAGGGAATTAGGCTTATTTAGTCTGCAGAAGAGAAGATTGAGGGAGGATTTAATAACAGCCTTCAACTACCTGAACTTCAACTGCTTACAAGAGGATGGAGCTAGACTGTTCTCACTGGTGGCAAGTGACAGAACAAGGATCAATGTTGTCAAGTTCCAGCAAGGGAAGTTTAGGTTAGATATCAGGACAACTTTTGGCACAAGGAGGATAGTAAAGCACTGGAACAAGTTACTCAGAGGAGTCATGTAACTTTGCAGGTTTTACAAAAATCCTTGGAGATTTCTAAGGCCTAAACAAAGCGTTGGCTGGGATAATGTATTTAGGGATGGTCCTCCTTTGAGCAGGGGGTTGGGCTAGATGACCTTCTCAGGTCCCTTCCAACCCTAATTTTCTATGAGTCTATGATCTTCAGCCAGATCTCCACAGCAAAGTTCACATTTTAACTGAAGAAAGAAACAAAACAAAACAAAACAAAATCCCTCCTATCCTGTTGTGACAGGGGCAGGCTTTCATGCCCGGTGCAAGCACCGGCCTGGCCCCTGTCTACAAGTCAGCCACCCACCTCACTCTTCTGCCATGCCTTGGTGTAATCATATTGATGTGATAATTAGGCAGGAGTCTGCTCATTATACACTCCAATATTGTGGGGGCTACCCATGGCTCTGTTTCACTCCTACACTGTGGCCCAAGCCTCGCAGATAGTATCTCAGACAGCTAACTCAACCATCCCCTTTGCCTGTTAGCTGTAGCTCCTTCCCTGGGACCTTCAGCTTCCCTTTAAACCCTGGCCCCATCTCAGGCCAGTCAGGACCCCGAGCTTCTTTGCTCTATATGGGTGTCCCTCATGGTGAGCCCCTGGCCTTTTTGACCCCTATCTGGGTCCTGGCCCCAACATTGACCAGTTGGGTCCCTCGGTTAGGTCTAAGCCTCCTGCCTGCACTCAGGGATCAGGGTCCCCCATTCCTGGCTCAGGTGCTTCACAAAGCATGCCTAGCCCCAGGGGGTCACTCACTGCGGCAGGGTGCCTGCCACTTTAAGGGCCTGATCCAAGCTGCCAGCAGGTGCCTGATTGTAGCAGCCATTTTAAATCCCTGGCTGCCTTTATAACCGGATCAGTTCCCTACTGGCAGAGGAGGCAGCAACATCGCCTGGCTGCAAGGCCGCTGGTATCATCCTGGAGGTAAGGGAGGAGCTGTAGGGGATGGCTAGGAGGCTCCTGGTCCTGGGCATGACCTAAAACTGCACCCTGCCAGGAGTGGGTGGCCTGGTGGGGCTCTCAGTGGTGGAAGAACCACAAGGAAATGCCAGGCCAGTGACCACCCCTGTGAAAGGCGAGTAGGGGCACCTTAACCCTAGCCCTCACCTCTGGCTGGGTAAAGAGTAACATCTACAGCCAAGCACAATGACATGCTGCTCTGGGGCGGGGAGTGAGAGTCCCTGTGAGACCCTGGAGCACCAGTCATGGTGTGTGTGAGGAGAATAAGATCAAAGGGAGGAGTAGAGGCCAGGTAAGCTTCGGGAAGTGCCTGAGCTAGTTGGGGAGAAATTGTGCAGGTCCAGGCACATTCCCCAAGCACCTGAGCTGGGAAGGGGGAACCCCACTCCGTAAGTACAGGCAGGAGGCAAAGACCCTGCTGAGGAACTCAACTGGTCAATGCTGGGGCCAGGACTTAAGGGTCAAAAGTGCCAGGGACCCACTGCGAGGGACACCCATGATGAGCATAGAAGCTCAGGGTCCCAACTGGGCCTGAGATGGGGCCAGGGCTTACGGAAGCTGAAGATCCCCATGGTTGGGGGCCACAGCTAATAGGGTGAAGGCGAGGGTTCAACTAATGGTCCAAGATGCCATCTGCGAGGCTTGGGCCACGGTGTAGGGGAGGTACAGAGCTGCGGACACCCCCCTAATATCGGGGTGCAACAATGGGCAGCCTCTCACCTTAATTAACAACTTATTTATTACCCTCAAGGTATGGCAGGTGAGACAGGTGGGTGGCGTGTCCAGAGGCAGGTGGAGAGCTAGCTGCAGCTACTGAGGGATGTCTACCTTGCCACACACACCCCAGCAGGCTCAGGTGCTTCAAGAAGCTTACCTGGCCTTCCCTGGATTAGATGGATCATATAACCCATCTGAAGGTGAGGGCTGGGGTTAAGGTGTCCCTACCCACCTCTCACTGGGGTGGTAACCAGCCTGCCTTTTTCCTGGGGTTCCTGCACCACCAGGCCACCCATTCCTGGCAGGGTGCAGTTTTAGGTCATGCCCAGGACCAGAGCATCCTGTTCCTACCTGCAAAATGTTCCCATGCAGCAGCTCAGCCAGGCAATGTTTCTTGCCTGCCTCTCAGCAGCAAACTGCTCTTGTTTATATAGGCGTCCAGAATTCTAAAATGGCTGCCAAGATCAAACACCTGCTGAGTGCTTGATCCAGCCCTTAAAGGGGCAGGCACCACTGGTGTCCTGCCACACCTGTCCCATCAGAAAGTAGAAATGCCCCTTGCCATTCTAGCCCTAGCACAGTAGCCTGGTTCGTCCTTGCAAGAAGCTGTTCCCTTCATACCTTACTTTCTCCTCTCTCATTTCCTCTTCTGAGAGCTTTTAAAGATCCTGATGGATAATCCCTAATCACCCAAACACCCAACAGCTGGGTTTTCCTAACAGGGTTGACTATTCTTCCTTAAAGAAACAGATCACCATATTGCAGTCTCCTATTACGTCATTCACAAAAAGCAAATATGATGATAACTAGTTACAAGTGGAGGAAGGGAAAGCTCCATCTATACCACAATAACAAATGAGTGAAAGATTTGGTTATATTGTTTTGTACCCCATCCAGGTTGCAGTTTACACAGACCTAAAGCTTTGACATTTTTATTTTATACCAACACAAAACTGCTCCAGAAAATAGCTGTGTTACAACCTGGATATGGTGGATAGGAATCATTACAGAACAGGAAGGAAAAAATTACTAATTTTTAATGTATCCTAATTTAGCGAGATTAAACAAAGCTGACTAAGAAAAGTTAATACTGGTACTGTATTCATGTTTTTACCTTTCTCTGTCTTTAAATGCTTGTTCAGTCATTAATTTCTTTAGTTCTGCCAGGCACAGAAGATCTTTCTCTTCTAGTTCTTGCCATTTTTGTTGTTTCTCAGCCCAATACTTTCTCACCTAAAGTTTGAATGAATGCAGTATACAAATTAAAATAGTTACTTATAAACAAAAAAGAGAACCATCAATGCAAAAAGACTGAAGAGTTAGAAAAAAATCTGACATGTTCTTTTGTAATGATATATTTATTTTAGTATAGCATATTGCCTATGTTGATAGAAAAAAAGAACAAGTCACATTCTAATGATTCAAAGTGCAAAAATTGGTTTTGAGAAGCAAAAGTGTGTTGAACCACAAAACTTGAATGAAACAAGTATTGACTAGAATGTATTTTACTGTCCTTTCTCTTTCCGTTCTACCCAACAACAGCAAGTACAGAGAGCAAGAAAGCAAAACAATTGTCAATCAGGACACTTTATTCCAGTTAGAAACAACAGTAACTCCAAATGTTAAGAGCAAAAATGCCAGGCACAGGATAGAATAGGATCGGACAGGACAGGACAGGAAAGGATAGGGTAAGATAGGAGGAGAGAAGTGGGAGTGATGACGCACACAGTTGACTGTGAATTATTTTCCCTTCTTATTTCCCTCTTCTCCTGTTTCACCTAGTAACAGTGATTACAAAAAATAGGTGTTACAGGATGTCACAGGGCACCTCAGTGCCTGCTCCTAGGGAGTAGAAACTGCCAGGGAGAGAGAGCCCTGGCAGGACATAACGAGCCCAGATGAGCATTGCCAGGGTAACAAGCACAGCTGCGGGTTGCCGGGGCAGCTAAGGAGAGCCAGCTGCCTGTAGGAGGCAGGGCCTGGCCCTTGTAAAGCCCAGGGCTGAGGCCAGGCTGGCAGTTCCCTGCCAGCAGCCAGAGGGGCAGGAGCTCCTGGAGTTAGGATGAGGAGAGAAGCCTCACAGCAGGTACCGCTCGATCAGAGTTGAGCAATGTTAAGTTATAGCCAGGTGGCTTTGAGCTGAGTTATAGCCAGGAGGCTCTAGTTTATGTTTGTGTTGTTGTGTATTACACCGGTGGTTTGGGTGAGGCTGTAGGGGTTGGAGGAGGCCTCATAGGGACCCCAGAGGTATGGGGGCCCCAGCGCCTGAGTGAGGGCACAGTACTTTACGGGGGAACCCCAGTGGTATAGGGACCCCGGTGCCAGTGAAGGCGCAGTGCCAGTGAAGGCACAGCTTGCGCGCCAGTGAAGGCGCAACTGGCGGCGAGGAGTGCAACCAGTGGGTTGCGGGTGGGGAACATAGACCCCAGGTTGTGTGCGGGGTACGTAGACCCCAGCCCCAGAGAGGGGCAGCTTTGAGACGCCCCAGTGCGGGCACGACGAGCCCCAGAGAGGGGGCAATATTACTAGGAAGCCCAGTGCGGGCACGACGAGCCGCAGGGAGGGGGCCATATTATTAGGAAGCCCAGTAGGGGCACGACGAGCCCCAGAGAAGGGGCGGTGTTATTAGGAAGCCCAGGACGGGCACAGCCAGCCCCAAGAGGGGGCAATATTATTAGGAAGCCCAGTAGGGGCACGGTGAGCCTCTGAAGAACGGCTAGTGCTGCAGCAAGCCCCGGAGCAGGGTAGAGTGCTGCGGTTGCCCCGGTGAGAGGGGGTAGCAGCGCGGTGTGCCCTGAGAGAAGGGGAGAGCAGTGCGGTGGGCCTGAGAGTCAGGGGGCGTTGCCGGGAAGTCCCCAGAGTGGGCACAGAGAGCCCCAGACAGGGCGGTATTTTAGAGGCCCAAGTGTGGGCACAGGGAGAGCCCCAGGAAGGGGGCATTACCGAGAAGCCCAGCGCGGACATAACCGGCCCCAGGCGGGGGCGCTATTGCGAAGGCCCCAGAGAGGGGCAACGTTACAAGGAGGCCCCAAGTGGGCAGCTCATAAAGAGACATAAAGTGGTATGTCTCATAAAGAGACATACCAGCGTCTTTCCCATCAGCGAGCCTTGGGGCGTGGTATTAGGGGTTGGTAGGAGCCACGCATAGCCCATAAGGCTAGGGTGTCTGGGGAGCACCCATCATACCGGGAGACCCCCAGGCGGTCCAGGAACACACGGGGACCGAGGTCCCAGCTAACGTGCCCAAGGAGATGCAAGGCAGCCTCCCTATTATATTTACCAGCAAGACGTGGCAGGCGAGAATTGAGGGTGCCCTTGGGCCGAATTGGCATGGAGAGAGGGCCTAAGGAGATCACGGCCCTCCTATAGGATGCCACCGTGACACAGGAGTAACCAAATGAGCTGTGTGGGTTTATTTCAGATGCTGGGAGTGCCAGAGCTGCCCTCACTGACATTGCTTTTGGTGTGACGGGAAATGCCAAATGAAGGTGTGAGTTATGAATAGGTAAAAGTTTTACAAATTCAGTGACCCTGAAAATTGTCATGCTGCTTACTGAATGGCAGTTAATAACTATCAACAGATACTTTTGTCCCAATCAAACGCTAATAGGAAAATGTCTTTAATTCACAGGAGTCCTTATGGCCTACAGTCCCCAGGTGTATTATCCCTCTAGACAACTAAACTGAATAGCTTTTATAGAACTTTGAATGAGAGGAAAGTCAAAATTTAGCAACTCTGTGACATCTAAGGAATGAAGTCTCTTTGTTACAATGAAGAAGGATCAAGATACCATATAAATAAAACAGCAGGTCAATAAAACAAAATTCCAAATTCTTCTCTTGAATGAACTCAAGAGAATTCAAGTCTTTTTAACTCAGGGCAGTTCTTTGAAGATAAGAAGAAGGAATCAGAAACAAACTTAAGCTTAACAGTCTGCAGCATGGGATGACCTTAATTAAAAACACTATCTTAAGGTAAAATACCTTCTGAGATATATCTCCCAAAAATTTGAATGGGAACTCATGCTAAACCAAGGCACTTACAAGTTACTGACCAGTTCTTAGGTCTGTGAAAGAGATGGATAAAGCTCTTCATCAGAGGGAAGAGAGCAAATTGCTTTACCTTTGACAGGACTACAGGTATTTGAGATGAGCCTGGAAAGGGTTGACCTACAGACACTGAATAACATAAAAGTTGTAGCATGGTCCCCTAATTCCTGCTACTTATGCAATAAAAAGGCTGCATTAGAAGTCTTCAATTTGAGGTAGGCAGCTGAGATAGGGATGGCTGAAGGAGAATAAGTAGTCAGAGAAAGCCAAAAGATAGGCTATAGGAGGGCAAAATAGATGCTTGGGAGCTAGCTGCAAGACAATAGCACAGAGTCCCAGGCAAGTAGGCAGGCAGGGCACTGACAGAAGTGACATTTTGTCATGCAGTTGAACCCCTGAAAGTGCTCTACAGCTGTGCCCTGACAGAAGTACCTACCTGCAGAGTGTTTTAAAAGTGCATGATTGCATGACAAATGAACCTTCATTACATAAGGGTTCAGGTGCTCCAAAGCGGAATGCTTTCAATTAACTTCTGTCAGTGCATCCTGGGACCAGGGTTGGGCTGATGCAGCCCCCAGCCCTGGTGTTGTCTTCAAGATGGGAGGTGGGAAGGGAGAGGAGGGAGTTTGGTCTGGGGTTTGCCCGGCTTGCACTTGGGGAGGGGCAGTGGATTGGAGCCCTCCCACCTCAGGAGAGCTCCAATCTACCCCCGCCCCCTCCAACACAGGCTGGGCAAACCCCAGACCGAACTCCCTCCCCTCTCTTCCCCCCGCTCCCATCCTGAAGACAGCACCAGAGCTGGGATAGGGGGGTAGGGCTAGGGGACAGAGGCTACAGACATGCAGCCAGCTCAAAACTGGAGCTTGATTCCCCCAACCCCCCAGACCCAACAGAGAACATCTGTTGGGATGGGTGGGAGGGGAGGAAATCACTGTAACTCATTGCACTTTCTGTACAGGACAATGAGTTACAGCAGGGAACTACATGTCTGTCAGCACCCACAAAGTGCAACAAACCAGGGCAGGCTGCTTATTAAGCTGAGGGCACACACCTGCAACTGGTCAGGGGATCACCAGACTGGAAGAGGTAGAGCCTTTGCAGATAAAAGCTCAAGTCCTGACCCAGGCTCTCCATGTGGAAAAAAAAAATCTAGCACAGAGCTAAGAGATAGTTGGAACTGTGAGGAGGGCCAGGGCTGGGAGAAGCCAGCTAAACAAGGTAGGAGCTGGGGAAAGTCTGGAGAGAAGCATCTGGCTCAACTGATGATGTTTAGGGTTTTGATTATTGTAGGCTTTTAGACTACAGGACTGGATTGTGGCTGTAGGTGTGGACAGGAGACCATGTATCAGGGTGCTTATGGTGCTCTGTGCCCTGCAAGAAGCAGGGTTGCAACTGGGCTAAGGCTGAGAGAGCTGAAGCCTTAATAAAGATGGGCTGAAGCTGAAATAGTTGAAGCCAAGACAGAGGAGTTGAAACCCTAGAGAGGCTGAAGCCATGACAGGGCCAGAACCCATGGAAGAGGCTGAGGCTTAGAGGGCCAAAGGTGACAGCCAGAGGAAGGAGGCCAAAGCTGTAAAGGCCAAAACCTGAACAAAAGGGATAAGGGACTAGATTTACTAACTGATGGTGACTGACATCTGTGAAGCATGGATGTGGCTATGGGAGCAGCTGGAGGCCACAATTAATGCTCTTAAGGCAATTTAGTACCCTAAGGCACAGAAAGAGCCAGGGGCGGTGCATGAAGGGCAGGGTAAGGGCCAGAAGGGCACAGAATAATTGGATAGCAGATTAAGGTTCCAGACAGCAACCAGTAGGACCATAAATTTGGTTAGGCCAATTAAAGGCAAGTTGGTGGCAGCCTCCCAATTCATATAGATCAAGGCATGGCAGGAGAAATAGTGGAGGAGTATTCTGACGATCTGGAGTGGGGCAGGTTTTATGTGGTCACCAGGGAGTGCCACAGCCAACCTCAGAGGCTAGACCTCCTATAAGGTACCTACATTACACCTAAGACCTATTAAGGGTCAATAGAAGTTAAGTTATATCTATAGTGTAATCACTACACTACAATGCTGTCAAAAGAGTTTTACCTATGCTGCTTCAGCTACTAGTAGTGGTCTCATAAAAAACAGCTCCACACAAGCTAAATGCCTAAAGTGTTCACCCTGCTTTTTCAGGTATGTTTTGCTGCCATGGCTACAATGCTAGCAGTACTCATGCTAATGCTAGTTAGCGTAAGGTTATCTTGGGCATTTCTACACTACTCTGCAATCACAACACTGAATCCAAGGCAGACTCTCTAGGCTACTAGTCATGTAGGCCCCTTTGAAACTTTACTTTCAGCTGCAATTACTAAAAGTCTTGGCCGTCATCCTCTCAGAAGAAACTATTACATTTACTTGGCACTCAATCATGTTGGAAGGGGCAGTTGATTCTAAGTTCCTTTCCTAGACAACATAGCAGCAAACCCTAAAAAAAATGAGTGTATGCAGTAACATAAAAAGTAGAGTTGGTGCCCAGGGCAAACCTTGCAAGGGGGAGGGAGGTGTTGGTGCTTGGTTCTGACAGTGGGAGCAGAGGGGCATGTAAATTATGAGAGCAGGGGGATGGGTGCAGGTTGTAAATTATGATAGCAGGGGGAGGGGTTCAGGTGCTCAGAATTAAGGAGGAAGATGCATGGTTCTGAGAGTTAGGGGAGGGTGGGTGGGGCTTGCAGCAGACTGAACCATGCCAGGACCTCCTGACCAGTTCCTTGTCTGAGCTGCTGCCTCCATGTGCTCTGCCCATCCAAACTGTTGCTCTTAAAGCCGCAGCTGGGGACTGTTTTGCAGCTGCCAGTACAGCTATGCTGTCCACTGGGTATGTATTCCGCTGGGGTGGGAGGCAATTATGGCACCCTCCTAACCTGGTATCCAGGGTAGGTGCTTCTTTTTGCCCACTTCTAGCTACACTACAGAGTATATTTGTGCACATGCACTTCCCTTACAAACCATATACTATTGTGCAACAGTAACACAGCAACTCTTTCCTGATGGTGGAATTGTCTGGCAGGTGATAATGACTGTCTTCAAGCAATTCTTTGATCTGCAAACAACCACAGCACAGCTAATGAGTTTACTGAGCATCCTTCATTCAAGCTAAGTGAAAGGAACAATTAAATGTTTCCTTATGTAGTGGGAAAGGCAAGAATTTCTTAGGGTGATATCTTTTATTAGACCACCTATGTAGTTGGGTTAAAGTTAGACAAGATTTCAAATGTAAGACATTTTTCATCATGCCTCTGATCTCTTTACATAGTGTTTAACTGGAAACAATAAGAAGTCACAAACTAAGGCGCTAAGCTATATGACTAAGCAGATTTAAGCATGTGGAACTGATTGTAAATGCAGGATATTGACTGGTTGCAGCAGCCTGGTGTGTCTATGTCTATGATCATCAGAAAGCAAGAAGCATGACTCTGGGAGGAAGCCAAAAGACAGAATTATTTTTAGGCACAGTACTTGTTGGAAAGGCAGAGTTGAATTTCTGAGCAAAGAAACTACATGTTATTGCTTGTACCCTTGGGCTAGAGACGGATATTCAAAAAGCTGGGGCCTGAATTGATTCAATCTTTGCAGGTTAGTTTAACCACTTATGTTGAACTGATTTGCAACTGCATAGGCATTCCCTCTGGATGGAGGAAATGCCAGCACATGCCTGCAGTTGCTCAGGTGAGGAGCCAGTTCATGCTCCCTGACACCATGACAGGGCCTGCTGCCCCCATCACGATCGCTCCCCACTCACTGCTCCAGCAGCCAGGTGGGGGCAGGGCCAGAGGCTGGCCAGCAGGGCCCATTGGGTGGGGGGCAGGGAGCAGGGTTATTCCCCCCCTCTGCCCCCAGGGTACCGCAGCAGGGTCTGCCCTCCCTGATCACCACTACCGCCATTTGCTCTGTGCCCAGGGTGGAGTAAGTGGTGGAATGAGCCCCCTCCAGTGTCCCCTCCCTCCAGTGTCCAGCAGAGGGGGCTTATTCCACCATTTGTCCCAGGCATAGAGCGAGTGGTGGCAGCAATGGTTTGGGTGAAGAGGCCCCACTGTGGTCCCACAGCAGCGTAACTCCTGCCCCCCTCCCTAAGGGGCTCTTCCGGCTTGCCTTTGGTCTCACCCCTGCCTGGCTGCTGGAGAGGCAAGGTGGGAATGACCAGGATGAGGGGAGCAGCCTCTGTCATGGTGTCGGGAAGTGCAAGCCTCTTTCCAGCAGGGGGGAGCCCCGGTGCTGTCACACACAGTCCGCCACAGCTCTGCCCACCCTGCAACACAGTCCCCCATCGGGAAAAGGCTCATGCTCCCTGACACCATAACAGGGACTGCTGCTCCCATCAAGGGCCCTGCCCCCTTGCCGCTGCAGTGGTGGGGCTAGGGCACAGCCAGAGACCAGGAAGCAGGGTCCCTTAGGTAGGGGGCAGGAAGGGCGGTTATTTCCCCTCCCTCTGGCATCTGGCAGAGGGGGCAGTAGGGAGTTTATTCCACCACTTGCCCCAAATAGGGAGTGAGCGGCAGGGGTCAGTGCAGGCAGACCCAGCTGTCGCCCCCAGGGGCAGTAGGGGTAGAGGGGGGAATAATCCCCTCCCCGTCCCCTCTGCCTCGGTGGCCATGCTGGCCAGTGTTTGGCTGCACCTGGCCCTGCTGTTGCAGCAGCGAAGAAGCACCTGCAGACCCAGCTTGGGTCCCTGCCAGTGGGACAGGGAGGGGGGAATTAAACCCCTCTCTGGAC